CATAATTTTTGTCGAAACTATTTTTAGGCCACCAATTGATTTTCGAGCTCTCACAAATCATTATAAAGATACGTATGGTGACCAAAATGTCTGCGCCGCAGGTGAAGTTTAAAAAAAAGGCCAAAAAGCGTTTTTAGGTGGACTAAATAGAGTTTCCGAGCTCTCCCAGAGTGATAAAAAGACCCTGGTTTGGCCAAATTTTCTGCGCCGCATGCAAAATTTTAAAAAGACAGGCCAAAAAGGCGTTTTAAACACTTTTTGGAAAATTTTGACCAAAAAATAGCGTTTTTTCGGTGCGCGCTCCCCCCCTCAAAATTAGTGAATATTCGCACCAAAGGCGCCTTTAGAAAATTTTTAGGGTCCCCCTTAAAATATGGATATCTCAAAATAGTACAAAGGGGGACCCTATGGTTCGGCAGGGGGTCTAAATCCGCTGGTGATTGTTACAGCTGATTTTGCGCTAAAATGACGTTTTTGTTTCGTTTTTATATATTTTTGTTTGTGCAATTTCACTGACTCGAAAAGAGATAAGAAAAAATTACCAACCTGTTATTTATTACTTGTTAAATCATGAGGTCTAAGATTAAGGACGTTGGATCAAAAAGAGTTCTCATTGCATTCAGAGACACAGTTTCGAGTGCTGTCTTATGTTGAGAAAATTGTTTATCATAAATCTGTGTTATATGTTTGTACTGAATTTGTTTTTGTGTGTTTTAGAGGCAGTGCACTTTGCCAACATGGTGTGTCATTTGGGCTACTTTTTCCCCGTGCCCATCAGTGGCAGCTACCAGGTCAAGGACGACGGATGTCTTTACCGCTTCCAGGCACCTTTCTACTGGCCCTCCTTCAACAACACCCCCGACAACACAGACTACGGTAACTAACAAAACACTTTTCCACTCTTTTCTGTTTTAATCTGCCCGAACGAAACTGATTTTTTTTGATGCTCTTGAAATTGGATCATAACGCTCGAATCTGATTGGTTGAATATAGTTTTAGCTTATCAATTTTTTTTGCCGCGATTCCGTATTTTTTCAAGATTTTGTCCTTTTTTGTTTTTGTTTTTCTTTTTATTGACTTTTAGAGCAAAAGTTTACAAAGGAAACGCTGAATTAAGCTTCAAAAGCTAGTTTTCCTCAGCTTAATAAAGTTTTTTATGCTTTTATAACACATTGAAATTAGCCTAAAAAGCTAAAAATTCAAACCAGTTTTTCTCGACACTGAAAGAAATTTTTAATTGTCAATCGAGACTATAAGACGCCTTTAAATGATATACCACTTGATCAATTCAGATAGTTTTTTGTGGTACCAGATTTTCTTTAAAAAAAAAGAAAAAGGTAGCTTCGACCACAAAAATTTTTCTGTAGACATTTTTCAAATATTTGATTCCCAAGAAGGCGCTATACATAAAAAGATTTTTTCGACACGGCGAAACAATTTGTAAATGGTTTTTTTTACAACTCAAATCGCGTCTAACATGCTTTAAAATACAGGACTTCAACCGACCTGACTTGCATTGTGGTGTGTTCGATAAAAATACCCGAAAACTCTTAGTGGTCGGAACAATAACAGGATGAAAATTGATAAGTCTTTTTTTGTTGGAACTGTAGCTGTGTACCTGGTGAAGCTACTGCAGAGTTGTGGGAGTGGGGCGGCTGCCAGTGCTAGTGGGAGGGGCGGAAAGTGTGCCCTGGAACCCTACGAGTACGACATCTACTGCAAACTCAGACAGACACTCTCCCACAAGTGGGAACTCATCATCATCACCGCCGAAAACCAGGTACACTAAAACCAATCCTGCTGCTCTTTGGATTTTTGAGTTCTTTCTTGGCTTATTTGACTTTATATCACTCAGTTTTCTTCCTGTCATGAGATCGATTCCCACATCGGTAGTTTTTCTACCCAACATTTAACTTTTCATTTAATATAACCCCCCCCCCCCCCAAGTAGAAAGAAATATCAACTGAACTGTAAAAAACCACCACAGTTATATATGAGGATAGAATGTTGAAATTGCTTAATTAACTTGCCCCACTTGCCAGTTTTCATGACAGCAGGACATGGAAAAAAGTTGGGGGAGGGGGGGGGTGTTGGGTGAAAAAATACTGATGTGGGAATCGATCTCATGACAGGAAGAAAACTGAGTGATATAAAGTTAAATAAGCCAAGAAAGAACTGAAAAATCTGAAAAAAAAAAATCAGAAACAAAACAAGATAATTAAATCTACATCACACCCGGGATCACTCACCTACAAAAAATCTCCCATATTACAATTTTTATCGAGATTTGCTCGAAATTTTCCCATTTTTAAATTTAAAAAAAAATCTAAGATGGCGACTTTTGGTCAATCAGAGGACTTGCGAGGCTTTAAGGATTTCAATTGGTTAAAATTTTCTGCCATGAGACATTTTCCCAAACTGATGATAGAGAATATTCTCTTAGACCGACTTGTCTGGGAACTTCAACTCACAGTTTCATGTATTTTTCTAGAGTGACCTATAAATCAGATAAGTTTTAGCTGAATTTCTACATTATAAAAATATATTCTAGAGAACCAAATTGCCACCCTTATAATGAACTAATTCGACAGTTAGACATATGTGAATTTTGTATCTAGTAACGAAGCTCCGCACCTTTTGTAAAAAGGGAAGAATTAGTTAAAGAGATCCTGCTAGCCGAAAAGTAGACAAGTTTTTATGATTTCATGCTTTGATTTGGGATGCTTTTCCATCATCGTTCTTAATTTTGAATCTTTTTTTGTGTGTTTGTGTGTGTTAGATCCGAATGCAAAAACAGCGCAAGAAGATTGACAAAGTCATCAGCGAAAGCCAAGAGAGGGCATTCTGGCGCATACACAGGCCTCCCGTAAGTATATCTTTTCAGACATACAACAGAACCTATATATTTTCACACATATATTTCAGACAAGAAACATGAATAGCCGATTGCTGTGCGAGTAGTACAGACCCCATCCAATGAATATTTGATCTATTTGAAAAATCTGGAAGAACCTTGGCAAAATTTTGAAGAAAATTTTAACTGCCTTGGCTATTTCTGGCCAAAGAATCTTAAAAGATATCAGAATTTTAAGAAAATTAAAAAAAAACTGGAGGAAAAACAAAAATTAAGAAAATCTTTCTTAGATTTTTGTAGATTCTTTGAATAAGATGGGCAATTTACTTTAAGCATTTTAACAATATTAAAAAAAAAAATTCGGCCATTTTTTTGAAGATTTATTTAAGGTTTTCTGAAAAGAAATAGAAAGATTTTTTCAAAACTCTTGGTTTTAAAACAAATTTTCTGATGATTATCAGTCTTAAAGCAATTTTAGGCAAACGAATAAATCAACTTAAATCGGCAAGTTAAGCGCATAGAAATCAAAGAAATCAACTAAACAACCATTAGTTTTTGGTAAAAAAAATTGCTACATTTCAAAATTTCACGGTTGCAGATTTCAAAAATAAATGTTCCTGAAGATAAAAAAAATTAGAAATTACCGACGGTTGCCAATTCAATGGCTGTTTTGGCAACGAAAAACGTAGTAGGATTCAAATAATAACAAATGAAATCAGCCAAGTCAACAATCCATGAAATTATTGTATAATGAACAGTCATCAGACTAAATAATTTTTGTTAAAGTAAAAAAAGTTTTACAATTTCTTGATGATTATCTTTTTAAATGCAATTATAGGCAAACAAATTAATAAAACATTATTTGAAGACGTTTAGGGACCTTAGAAAATCATGAAATAACTTGAAAATGTTTTGCTATATTTGATAAATATTCAGGAACCTTCAAGATTTTTGCAAATTTTTAAAGAGGACTGGACCTGGATTATCCGACAGATCAAATGTAGCATTGTTGATTTTTATGAACTTAGTTTCTTTTTTTTTTGAAGGTTGGAGGAGTCTAAAAAACAAAATTTTGAACAATTGAAATTGATATACAAAATGAAGACTATGTAAGTACTATGAAGGTTACTATGTAAGTAGCACGGACATTTTCGACTGAAGAAAAGGAAAAAAAATGAAGTTGAAGAAAAAAAATCAACTAATTGAATTTTGAAAATCAAGAAATACGAACAAAAAAACATTTGCAAAGTTTTAGCAAGTTTTTTAAAGAAAATTAAAAAAAAACTGGAGGAAAAACAAAAAATAAGAAAATCTTTCTTAGATTTTTGTAGATTCTTTGAATAAGATGGGCAATTTACTTTAAGCATTTTAACAATATTAAAAAAAAAATTCGGCCATTTTTTTGAAGATTTATTTAAGGTTTTTTGAAAAGAAATAGAAAGATTTTTTCAAAACTCTTGGTTTTAAAACAAATTTTCTGATGATTATCAGTCTTAAAGCAATTTTAGGCAAACGAATAAATCAACTTAAATCGGCAAGTTAAGCGCATAGAAATCAAAGAAATCAACTAAACAACCATTAGTTTTTGGTAAAAAAAATTGCTACATTTCAAAATTTCACGGTTGCAGATTTCAAAAATAAATGTTCCTGAAGATAAAAAAAATTAGAAATTACCGACGGTTGGAGGAGTCTAAAAAACAAAATTTTGAACAATTGAAATTGATATACAAAATGAAGACTATGTAAGTACTATGAAGGTTACTATGTAAGTAGCACGGACATTTTCGACTGAAGAAAAGGAAAAAAATGAAGTTGAAGAAAAAAAATCAACTAATTGAATTTTGAAAATCAAGAAATACGAACAAAAAAACATTTGCAAAGTTTTAGCAAGTTTTTTAAATGATTGCTCAAATTTTCTACTAACTTTTTAAAGAAAAATTGATGGATTGAATTAAATGAAAAGTTTATAGAATGAGCAAAATTTATAATAACTTTGAGCAAAATTTATAATAATGATCATAATAGCAAAGTAACGTAAAATCGTAGTTGAAAATAATTAGGAGGTCAACTTTTGATCAAGTTATTTAATTTAGTCTGAAAACCCGAAAATTTTCAGGGCAGTTTTTCTCAAATCAGATTTTTTTCGGATTTGTTTTGGAATCAAAACCACGGCCAATAGGGCTTTAATATTGACTCGCTACGGATTTTATTTCGGGTAATCAAATTTGAGAAAAAATCCGTACCTGTCACATAGTTTCTTCTAACGTGAACGGCATCACAACGTGAACGAAACGGCAGCACATCGATTTCAATTCGGAATTTTAAATGAAAATAATATTTTGTGTTTTAAAAAGATAATGATTATAGCGAAGTGATGTTACTGTTTGATAAGTTTTTTAATTTACTTTTTAGAAAATTTCAATTTAGCTTTTTGGAAAATTTGTAATGCCTTTTCAAGTTTAATTTTTGAAGTTCTCTGCTAGATAATGCTTTCTGTATTGATTGCTTTTATCTAAGTTACTTGGCAAGTTAAATTTGGTAGCAAAACAACCTAAAAGCACTTCGACTTAAATTCCAAGCAAAATGAAAATTTGAATGATATAATACACGATGGATAAATTTGAAACAAAGTGCATTTGCCAAAAAAATCTGACTTAAATTCTTGTAATTGATGGATATAAATTTGAAATTAAAACAGAGTCTGTAGATAAAGGGTGAGTTCTTCTAGAAAGAAAGAAAGAAAGAAAGAAAGAAAGAAAGAAAGAAAAAACGAAAGAAAGAAAGAAAGAAAGAAAGAAAGAAATAAAGAACGAAAGAAAGAACGAAAAAAAAAAATCTTCATACATACAAATACATTATTACAAAAATTAAGCAAGTTAAGCAATTAAATTTTGGTGAATGTACGTATTATCTGAATAATTCTAGAGTGGCATATCAGCTATGTTGGAGCGAGGACCTCGGAAGTTCTTCCAGGAGCCCAAACCCCTCACTCGGGAGGCACTGCAGAAGACGAGAGACCTGCTGCTGAGCCGAGTGGCCAAGTCCAAGAGCTACTCGCCAGCCACTTGTGCCAAGTGGTAAGCAAACTCCAAACACAACATAAACAGTTGACAAAAACTATTGCACAAAAACCTTGCAAAAACCCAATGCACAACAAAAACCATTGCACAAAAATCATCGCACAAAAACCATTGCACAAAAACAATTGCAAAAATGCCGCCATTGCACAATAACTATTGCACAAAAACCTTGCAAAACCCAATGCACAACAAAAACCATTGCACAAAAACCATCGCACAAAAACCGTTGCATAAAAACAATTGCAAAATGCCGCCATTGCACAATAACTATTGCACAAAAAACATTGCTTAAAACCCATGGTAAAAAAAACCATTACACAAGGCCGACCATTTTAACTGTTGCACAAAAAAAAACATAATAAAAAAACGGTTTCTTAGGGTTTTTCATAAAACAAATCGATTGGCCTGTTCAATATTAATTGCTTTCATAGTAATTGATAAAAACAATTATTTGTTTTTGAAGTGAAAAATAAACGAAGGTTGTCGAACTCGCACGAAAAACACCATACAAAAAGAGAAATCAAAAAGAGATACATTGGTCAAAAACCCTTATTGGTTAAGTAAGTTAATCAAATGATAAAAAATAGAGCGAGCTATAAAACAATTAAAAAAGCACAATTTTTTCTCCAATTTTAGCTAAAGTTCTGTTCTGCTTTTTGCTATGAATGTTCTGCTGTTGTGTGATATCAAGCTATTGCGTCGTGATATTGTTCTGCTATTGCGTTATATCAAGAATTGCTTAATATACTCAAATAAATTACTTAATTTCCAAGTAGCATAAAAAAATTGTCCAAATACTGGCGTAAGTTTGTTTCAGGTTGTAACGCGATAATTTTTTCACGCCTAGAAGAATCTTGAAAAAAAGGTAAAGTCCGAATAATACAAATTTTGGTGTGAAGTATTACTAAACTTTTTTGCAACTTAATTCAACGTTTTTCGAGCATTTAAACTTCTTTCCTAAATTTAAATTAAAAGCATAATATCAGCGGAAGCATGATAAAGCTAGAATTTGGAGTTTTTTGTGATTTTTGATATTGCTAGAAAACAAAAAATTCTTTTTTGTCCGTCAAAGCGTTTTGAATATTGTGATGTTAAAATAAAATGCAGTGACGCAGAGTGCAATAACGAAAACTCGGAAGCCAAAAGGATTGTTTTGCTGCATGAGTTAACCAAAAAACTCAAAAAGGTTACTGAGTTATTTATTTGCAGATTTCCAGAAATCGTTTTTACCTGAACTCCACGGACAAAACGTTTGAAACTATTTGACATGATTCGGAAACTTATGTCCAAAATAAGTTTAAACCGCCAATTACGCTTGATCAGGAGATTGATTGAAAAAATTCTATTTTTTGTTTGAGATTTTTTTTTGTTCAAAGTGCATACATTATAACACGTATATAAAAATTTTCACATGCATTCATTAGAAAAAAACCAATTGATTTTAATCTGATTTGAGGATGTAGAAGCTCATGTTTCTGGAGATTTTTTATTTTTGAGAAACACTGTCTTAGCAATTTTTTTTTAGGAGAAAGTTGTAAGATAGTGAAAATTTCCTATAAACCTTATAAGAGGTTCTAAGATAAGTCCATTTTTGTAGGGTGGTCAACCTGGGTAGATAACATATTTATTTGTTCATTAAAAAAAAACTTAAGCGCCCGGGCTTCAACACACTCGTGTGTGTTGTTATAACCTCTTATACAGTTTGTAGCAAACGTAAAAATCAAATTTTTTTAGGAAGTTTTTTCCATTGTTTTTTCCAATAAAATTACCGAGGACAGAACGGAAACTTCAATTTTGTTGCGACTTTTGTAACGAAATAAACAGAATATTTGTGTTCGGGGTGCTTATTTTTTTTCTTCAGACAAATTTCGACTTTTTAACTAGGCATTTTTGGCGGAACTTTTTATATCAAACAAAAGGTATTGCTTTTGTGAGCTTAAATTTGAAAAGTATATTTCACCTGTGATCATTTTTTGTAAAGTTAGGGGGCTTAAAGATTGCCATTTTGGCCAATTGAGACAATTAACGCGCGATTTATTTCGCGCTAATAACGTGTAAGCGGAGACTTAATCCATCTTAGAAATCATTCCAAATTGGTTGAAGCAAGCTTATTTGCCGAAATTGACTTGTTACTAGGAGCGAAATCTATGAATTTGTTCTTTATATGGTGTGTGGGGGGATATTTTTAACAAAAAAAATCAATTTTCAAAAAAATCATATTATTTACTTACATTTAATTTTTCATGTTATTGCTGTTCCATAGACCTTAAAAAGGCAGTCAGGACATGCAGGGCTTCGTCCCGATACGAGATACGAGCAGTCTTGTTTCACTTTACGTTCAAATTATGGTGATAATATTTTTTTTAAAATCAAGTATTTTTTAAATTTTTTGAAACAAGACTGCTTGTAAATCAAGACAAAGCTCTAAATGTTCCGACAGTACTTTAATTGGTCTCCAAGATTTTTCCAAATGGAAGTCTCACAAAATTTGATTTTTGAGTTAAGAAAATTAAGCAACAAAGTTTGAGTCGTATATATTGTTCAAGTCAATTTGCATGTCAAAAATGTTATAAGAAAATTGTTGACCTTTTCACACTGACAGTTTTTTGCAGTTAATCACATCAAAAGTCATTGCTCATGTGCTTTCACAAAATGAATTTCAAAAAAAAACAAAAGGGGATTAGAAAAGAGCCCAATTTTGTAGTCCGGGACAATTGCAGTAGACAAATTAAAGAAATTTTATATTGAAGTTGATTTTTCAAACAAAAGTCATTAATTTTGCTTCGCCTGTTAATTGCCGTATAATTATAGACTAATCAATTATATTGTTGGATTTCGCGAGATCGAATTCAAGTAATATTGGAAATGATGACGCTTTAACAAAAGATAAACTTCTTAAGTACATTGAACTTGACTCGGCGCCTCATTTGTTTTTTTGCAGGTTTCTGCTCATTTAATTTTCGTTCTTTTCATTTTTTATTAAGTGGTTTCTTCTTGCATTTGCAAAGCCAAGTCCTTTGAAAGAAATATAAAGAATTCGAAAAAGGCTTCACTGTCTGTTGGAATTTCTGGTAAATTAAATGTCACGAGACAAACAATATTGAACTTTAATTAAATTAATCGGGGTTTGCGTATCTAGATCGCATTCGGAGTTTCAGTGAAAAGGTTAGATTGATGAAATAGGTTCTCAAAGCGTAGGTTTCTTGCGAATAATAAGTGCTCATTTGAGTTGTGGGATTCAGTCAATATCTGAGTATAATAAGTTAGTAGTTGTGGAATCCTGATCCCAAAGAATTTAAGGCGGGTGTGACTGGGGCTTAAAATGGAGTTATTAGCCAATTAGACTCAAATATGTATTTTTTTGGTTGTTAAATTCATTTCAAGTTAGTCGAGAGGTTGAAGTTTTTTTCAAAACAAACATTTTTTAAAAAAATTTTCCACGTAACATTTTTTTCTAAAGACAAAAATGTTTTTATAAGGTTTTAGGGGCCTAAAACCAAATAAAAACCTTTTTTTTTTTGCCAAATTTTCTTTAATTTGAAAATTTTTAGAATTTGTCTGACAAAAATGAGCGTCGTAAACCGAATCTAGGATTGTCTCAAAATGGGCGATTTTCAAAAAAATTGCAAAATTTTCAAAAAAAGGGCCAAATAAGGCGTTTTTAGGCAATTTTTGGAAAATGTTGTTCAAAAAATTGCGTTTTTTTTTGGCGCGCGCTTCCCTTCGAAATTAGAATAAAATTGGAGCCAAAAGCTCCTCCGAAAACTTTGAAGGTCAGTCAGCCAAAACGGATGTTTCAAAATAGTACAAAGGGGGCCCTTGGTTCAGTAGGCGGTCGAATTCCTGAGGAAAGAGCGTCCGCCCCACCCCCCTAAACCCGCTACTAAACCCAACCCTCTGCCTCCTAGGCAGGGTACTGAAAATAGTTTTGTTTTTTTAGCCTTATGAGCCACACGCTTGCATATCAAGACTTCGATCCTTTCCTCGCCACTGAGGACTGCTTCAACCCCTGGATCACAGAAGAACCCTCGTACTTCAACTTATCCGCCCCACAGTAAGTACCTAGAAAAGCAACAAAAAACACTCTTTTCTCTTGGCACAATGTTCAAATGACAGAAATGTTCAACCAATTGACAGAAATGTTCACGTGTTACCGTGCCATATTTGAAAAATGTGGTCAGTGCGTTATTTGAAACTCCAGTGCAATATTTTTCCTAAGTCGATCAGCCTATACAACTAAGAAAGCGAAATTGCGTGTAAGCGTAAACGTTTTTTAAAAAGAGCGTTTTGTTCAATTTTTTCGCACCAGAGTCTCTCAACCAGATAAGCAACAACTTATACAGTGCTGATTTAAATTAACCGGACAAAACGCGTTAAACTTGAAATTTAAAACTCATTTTTCACAAAGTGGATTGAGTTTAGGTGAAAACTTATGGAAACAAAACTTACTTAGAAAATTAGCAGAATCAATATGGTGTAATTTGTTTTGCGAAATTCGGGTCCGAAATTTTACCCCAAAAATGGGTCATTTTGGCTATTCTTAGTTAATCAAAAATTACGCCAAAAATACCCAGTCGATCACAGACATAATTATATCAAAGTGAGCCCCTTACGTAGCCCAACAAACTTTAAGAAGGGTATAATCTCCAAAACATTGTATAAATTAATTTGTTTGTGTTTGATAGACAAAAAGGTCATTTTTACTATATAAAGTACCAACTTTTTATTTAAAAACAATGTTTAAAGAATATGCATTTTTTTGGAGAAAATACCCTACTTAAAGTTTGTTGGGCTACATAAGGGGCTCACTTTGATATAATTATGTCTGTGATCGCCTGGGTATTTTTGGCGTAATTTTGATTAACTAAGAATAGCCAAAATGACCCATTTTTGGGGTCAAGTTTCGGACCGAATTTCGCAAAACAAGATACATCATATTAATTTTGGTAACATTCTAAGTAAGTTTTGTTTTCATAAATTTTCACCTAAACTCAACCCAATTTGAGGTAAATGCGTTTTAAAATTCAAGTTTAACGCGTTTTGTCCTGTTAATTTAGATCAACACTGTATTGCATCTTGAAATTTGTTCACACCTTGACACTGCGTGTCTCGATTTGTTCACGTATTTTCTCGATGGAATGTATAGGTGTTGCTTATCTACAGTTCAAAAATTTTAAAAGTGCTGAATTAAATTATCCGAACAAAACGAACAAAAATTGAAATTTCTCACCCATTTTTTCTCAAATTGTGTTCAGATTAGACATAAGTTAATATAACAAAAGTTGCTTAGACTTTAACTACAACTAATATGCTTATTTTTCCCCAAAACTCTGAATCAAATTTTTACCCCTCAATTATTTGACTTTTTTATTCAATCAAGAATTATGCTGAAACTAACAAGGTAATTGATGAGACTTATAACAAAAGAAACTTCTTACACAGCCCAACAGAGTTATAGAAGGGTAAAAATTTCAAAAAATTTTTTTTCAAAATATCCTTCTGAAACTTTGTTGGACTGTGCAAAATAATTTTTGTGTTATAAATTTCTCATCATTTAACTTGGTAGTTTGAGCGTAATTTTTGATTGAGTAAAAAATGCTAAAATGATCTACATAAAGTATCAATATTGCTTTAAATCTCTTACTGCTCGCTCAAATTGTTGAGTTCCGAGCTTTGGTTGCTTTTATCAGTCGGTTTTTGGCCATGAAGTATTTCACAACGTAGTTCTAGTTTCCCGAAATTATAGTGACCAAATAGTGTCCTGTCCGAAAATATTCACAAAACTGATTGTTGCAACTATCAACCAATCAAGTCCTAGCCATATCGCTGAATAGCGGAAAAAAACACGAGGTTCAATATTGACAAAAAAGCAAGACAGCCATGTTACGTTCTTTGGACAAAATTTGTTTTTCATCTACTCGAATAGCAGTAAATTGCTAGTTCAGCAGAAATTTATCGTTTTGGAGTCCTACAACAAACGGTTTTCAAAAAAACTTGAGCGAGCATTTCATTATTTTGAAAATATACGCACAAAATTCAATCAGTTTTGCAATTTAAAGGGCGTTGATTGGCAAAAGTTTCGTTCAAAGATTTTTAAAAATAAAAATAAATTTTTTTGTTGCATTCAAAATTTTTGATAATTGTGGGAAATTACGTAATTTTATAGCGTTGAAATAGCTTATTGATTGTAATTGGTTCCAAAATTAACTACTTTTTCTTTTTTTAAGGAAAAGCACTTTGAGTTTTTGCTATATAGGCCGCTGAATATTTTTCTATCAAAATGGGCTCCGTGAGATATGACTGTGATGATAGTAAAAGTAATTTATTATATGAGGAAATTGCATGACAACAATTCTTTCCATAAAATTTCCAAACATTTTATCATTACGAGAATAAACTGTGCACTGGATAAACGCACAATTTAGTATATTTATGTATCTCGAATCCAGAGACATGTCTTTAAACATGGTAAAATTTTGTCGGAAAGATAAAAGAAAACTAAGTATCAAAAAGAACGTCCTTGATACGAATACCACTTACAATTCACAAAGTACAAAGTTTGGCCTCGTAATGATTATTTTTTCAAAAATAGTTTCTTGAATTTTTTCGGTTCTGTTCGAAACCGAACACACGGGACACAGACCTTGATTTACTCAAACCTAGAGTCATCAAAGGTTGAACGATCTTCCCTTTACAAGGCATAGGAATTGACCTGATTTGTTCAAGTTTTTGTTTTCATCGTCACAAAATTGGTATTCATGAAATTTTTATCTATTGAAGGTGTATGATAAGCTTTTTTTTACTAGAAAGTTTTTCTTTTTTTTGGCGATACACCGACTTTTCGCCAAAACCAGAGAAAAGTTCTTCGAAAATTCGATGATACCTTAGCACCTTTAGTGTAAGATCATCGGGTGAGCTGTTCTGTACAAGTTGCTGATGATTATCTCCTAAATCGATCTTTGATCCTTTGAATGGCAATTTTTTAACATATGAATTTTTTTTACAGAATTTATTGAGTTTTATAGAATTTCTGACTAAAAAATTTAAATCAAATATGCAATAGGGAATTTTTAAGTAAAAATTGATAACCTTCTTGTCATGAAGAAGGAAAAATTAACTCACTTTTCAATCTGATTTTAATTTAAAAACTCTGATATTATAGAAGTTGCAGCTTCAAATCAGGTTGCTCTGACAAAAATTTTTGCTTCTATCTGTTCGAAGAATGTGACAAAACATTTGTGCTGGGGGATGTTTTGTTCTCTAGACAAATTTGGAATTTTTAATTAACCATTACTTACAGAACTTTTTATATCAACATCAAGTTGAAAAACTCTTCAAGCCAACCCTAATTCATCAGCAGTCAAAACGTTCAGGATATGACCTTGATACGAGCAGTCTTGTTGTAGTTCTTAGTGCGGTTTGCTTATGTCTCATGAAGCAAATGAAATGCTGCAAAGGACGAATTGAAAAATTGAATTAATTGAATCTATAAGTTCATCGGCGATGCAAGTAAAATTTGAAAAATGACTACACATACTGTTTTGGACCTTTCACGAAATAAAAGGAAATTACGACCCAAGGAAGGGTTTTTAAGACATTATAAGGTACACCACAAAGGGCTCTTCCAGGATTGATTGAAGAACTATTTTTTCTTTGTTTCATGATTATGATTCGGAAACCAACATTATTCACAACAAACTCTCTGTTAAAAAATTGGTATGAAAAGTTGCTAAATAGACTAATTTGTTTCTATTCCGACGAATGTAGCTGTTTAAAAATCGTATTAACTGAAATGAGCTCAAAATGAGAAACACTGGTCTTAATCTATTTATTTCGACGATTGATTAGAAGAAAGTTTATCAAGTATCCGTTGTTATTTTTTCATCAAATGAGATTAATTTGCAACAAAAAAGTCTATCAGGGAATCATTGCAGTTGAAAAATTTGAACTATTTTTAAGCTCTTCTTATCAATTTCTTGCAGATAAGTCATGACAACTTTCGATTAATATCAAAGCTTTAATTCTAGCCTAAATTTGGAAAAATTACTAATTGTAATTTGTTTAAAAAAGGATTTTTTCCACAAAGTTGTCTGTACTATGTTCTAATGTCATGCTTTCAACAGAACCCAGAAGAAATTATACTTGCTGAACAAAACCCAACATGTTTGTATACCGCTAATTAAAGACTTGGTGATAACTGTATCTATGTCTCTTAAAATTCTCAGTTTTTTCAGGTTTTATCTCTATTTTATTGCAAACATTCTGTTTTCAATGACTAAATAATAAAAGTTTCAGAAAAACAAAACTAGTCGTCTTTAACACGTTTAAAGACTTGTCTCTGGAATCCAGGAATATACAGACACAAAATTGTGCACCTATCCAGAGCACAGTTTGGCCTCGCAATGATCAGGTCAAAGCACTGAATTTTCCGACTGCTCTTTAACTGGTCTCGAAAAATTTTAGGTATAAGAAATATATTTACACTATGAGTTTTGAGCTGATAATATCAAAGCATTAAGTGTTAAAATTTGAGTCGTATACGAAATTAAAACGACCGATGAGTTTGGCTAAATTCAACTTAGAAAGATTGTGTAGCGCGGGATAACTCGCCGCCACAAATAAATAATTTGCGTTAAACTTTCAGCATTAAAGAGCTTTCTTCATTCATGTAAGATAGACTTCGAGTTAAGCTAGTAAAATAGTGCGCACCGTCCAGCTGGTACCACAAAGATTGTGTTATTGATGTCTGCACTCAATAAAAAATCGTTTGGAAAACGGTTTGAAACAAACAAACAAACCACCCGAAGCATATATATCTTTTTCATCGAAGTCGGAACAATTAAAAAAACAATTGCAAAGAAACAGTCGTAGACATTTTTTCTAATAAGATACAATTATGACTGTCGCGGAGAAATTGGTATTACAATGTCCGCATCGAAAATGAAGCACTTTCATCAAAAAAAAATTAAAACATTGAATATTCAAAAAGCGTTATAATCTTTTTGACACTAACGATGAGGTTTTGTGTTTTTTTTATTCAGTAAATTTTCGACGATCAAAATGATAGCTTTCAACAAAAAATTTTTATACCCCGTTGAAGATACCGACTTTCTGAGTTAAAAAAAATATATTACCTCAGATTTTTTTGTTAAGTTCAGAGGGCTTGAAATAGCCAAATTGAGCATGCTCTGAACAAAAATATGCTCGCTTTGAAGAACTTATTCATAATGCTTAAAGTGTAAGGCGAAATTTTTTGCGTGGCGAATTATCCGCACAAATTGTTCCAAATTAAATTACAACTAGCTAATCGGTCGTTTAATTTCGTACGACCCAAAATTTTACACTTTATATTGTCCAAAATTTATAGAATTTTAATTTTTTCTTTTCCCAAAAACTATTCGATGTGAATTGAGAGACAGTCGGAACATTGAGGGCTTTGCCCTGATATACGAGAAGTCGTCTTTCATTTGAAATGTTTTTGAAGCCAGATTTATTCGTTGCCCCTGCTACGAAACAAATTAAAGTTGGAAATTTTGCGCGAATTAGTTATTCCAATCTGGCAAGCTTCAAACTCCTTCACCTGACAAAAAATTGCGGGTAAAAACACTTCTCTAGTTTTGAGAGCATCATAATATTTCAGATCGTGAAAACAAAACGTCAAAAACTGCAAGCTTAAAAATCAAAAATTTTCTGAACAAATAATTATCACGCAAACAAATTATCCGTGATTTTATTGAAAACCGGAACAACAACAGATAATTAATCATTTTACATAAATTTTAAAATACTGATTTTTTGGCTAGCTTTTCTGCAAAATGTTGAAAAAAATGATAAGCTAATTTAAGCGGCCGTTTGATTTCAATAAAAGAGTCTTGGGATGAAAAAAACTAGGTTTTTGTTTTTTGAAAAAAATGCCTATCATACAACTCCCATATATGGAAATTGTATGATTAGCATTTTTTGAAGTAATTTTGAAATTGCCCCAGAGTTTTTTTCAACCCCAGATCGAATTTTGTACTCAATCAAACGTTTTCCAGCAACAATTTTTTTTGCATCCAAAAAGTAGTCCTGGATGCACTAAAGATGGATTTTTTCCTTTTTGCAGAACAATTTTTTCTAAAAAACGCTGAAAATTCTCATTTGCTTTTCATGGCATGTTTATGTATTTCCCTGATCAAGGTCTGATATTTTTAAAATTCAATTCTTAATCATTGTTGAAAAAATTTGCCGAAGTTTAAAAGTTCGTTACTTCAAATATATGATTTGTGAAAGACAGCTGTATGACCATTCTGGTAGTTTTCTATACATTATAAATGCAAAACCCTCCAACTTTTGGTGCTTTCAGTGAACCAATTCCTCTGTCATTTGCGTTCGGTTACGAACAAACCCAAAATTTTGCAGAAATTAAATTTACAAAAAAAATCAACTTTTTGGTTTATGAAAAAATACTTGACATATAATTTTCATATATAGAAAAATGCTTATCATAGAGATTTCATACAATTTTCTGTACGTATGGAACTGTATGGCAAGATGTTTTTCAAATATGGAAATTGTATGACAAAAAGTTTTGGTCAACCCGGGTTTATTCTCTGTTATTTGTTTCAGTGTGAAGCACCCCCTCCCGAAACGTGTGAGGCGATGGGCCCTGGGACTGGGGGAATTGTTAAAAGACCCCACGGGACAGAGGGAGTTTATGAAGTTCCTGGAGGCAGAGTTCAGTGCCGAGAATCTCAAGTTCAAACTAGCCTGCGAGGAGCTGTGGAGATGCAAGCAAAGTGAAGTGGACGCCAAACTAAAACAGATCTACGAGTGAGTCTAAGATAAATTTTCAAAGGTTCTGCAAAGGATCTGCACTCTTAGCATAGCAGTAAGGTGTTCACTTCGAAATCGTCCAAACAGGCTGCATACCTTTTCATAGATCCTCAGCGAATCGCAGTTAAGGTTCAAGTTATGTAGATTTAAACCCTTTCACGAACAAATAAATGCGCTTAAAACTTCAAATATCCTGGGTCCGGAAAAAGTGCTTTAGAACAAGGGCGTATCTAGAGTTTTCTCGAAGGGGGTCGCATACTTACAGGTGCATTGCGTATTGTCCTGGCATTTTGTTTTACGCTTGTAATTAAACAAAACAAATTTAAATTGCCCATTTGTGTTCAAGTTCTTCAAAGTTTTCACTTGACCGTAATGTCTAATTTATTGTTTCTGGTTTCAGAACTTTCATAAAAGAAGACGGCGAACTTCAAATTAACATCGACAACCGAATCAAAGAAGACATCAAGCAATACATGATATCGTTTTACCACTCGCAGAAAATGAAACAACAACAGAGTTCTGAGTTTGGCTCCATGGTCTTTCCACCCACAGAGTCTACTCTGGAAAAGCCATTTGGAACGTCAGCTAACATCACTTCGACCCCCGAAGCTTCAAATACTCCTGCTGCGCCTGGAACTAAACCAGGTGTAATTAGTCAGTCGAGCTGCTTTGATCTTAATCTCCGCGACTCGAGTTCCGAAGTTCGGCTTCGGGATTCCTCGAGTCTTGCATCGCCAAATTTACCTGGAACAAAATCTGGCAACTCGAATGTTTCCAGTTTCTCTTATGGCGAAACAACCGGTGCAGTAGGTGGCGAGGATGGTCGTCTCGTGTCTTTGGATTCGCAAATCCGAGAGAATCCCTTTGTTTTGCCTTCAGCAGGAAGAGCAACTGTTCTAAGCTCCGGAAGTTTCTGTCGAAGCTCAGTGGGAAGTTTGAGTTGGACTGAGGCTGATCGCTCCGGAGATTACTCACACCTGGGAAAAAGACATGTGTTCGATCGGGCTCTGGATGAAATCGTGCTACTTATGAGTTCGGATCCATACCAGCGGTTCCTCAAGAGCGATGTCTACCGGAAGTTAGTCAACGACCCACGACTGTCTGACAAGCCTAGTGATCTACAGAAGGTGCAAAAGTAAGTACATTCGACTGCAAACGTTGAAGCGGGGGGGGGGGGGGCTGCTTTACCATTTCTCGCACCTGTGGTTTATGTTATTCAAAACTTCTGATTGATTTGAAATTTGACATCCTTAGGAAGAACCATAATTCAGTTGCGCATTTTATTTGGTCTTTATACGCAATATGGGTCTTATGCCCTAAACGGTCCAAAATCATTATTTATACAAAATGAACTGTAACTTATGTGGTTGAAACTGGTATGTTAAAATTAGCTAATCAAATTCAAGACACATAGTCAGGTACTTCAATTGACATTTGAAGCAGATGAAAAAGTTGACCGTTTTTTTTGTAAAACGAATGAATCTCAAAAATGTCATTAAGTAAGTTGGTTCACAATTCTTGCTGTTCGTATTTAGTTTCGTCATTGATCCAAACATTAGTATAATCATTTCAATTTCTTTTTGAAGATTCAATATTTATTCAAATAATGCTAGCAAAATGAAAATATCTTTGCAAATTAGCTTTTTGTGATTTAGTTCTTCTTTTTAGCCGTTTGGTACAACAGACCCCACAACCTTATATATGTCTTTCGGAAGTGGGGGTGGTAAAAAAGGCAGTTGGAGCTTCTCTCAATTTTTTTAAAATTATTTTGTCAATTAAATAGCGGGTAGGACTATTATAATCAACAAATCAATTCGATACATTTGCTTGTATAAAATATTGTTAAAAAAGTGCTGGATACTAAAAAAAAGGAATGAAAAATTTTTTGTTGTTATTTTTTATAATTTTTGAGACCGAAAAATTTTTAGGAGGCGGAGAAAAAGAAGTTTATGTTTTTGAGAAATCAATGCAGAAAAAATTATCCGTTTTCCGTTTTTTCCACAAGCAATGTGCAGTATAACACTATGAAGCAACTTTTTTCTAAGCGAAATCATTGTTATGAACTTTTGATTTATTTTCAATCAAAGGCAATTTGAGAGCATACGTTACTGCTTTATTGGTCGCTAGAGTTAGGAAGATTGCAAGCATATGGAGCAGGTGAGAAACGTGAGATTCCTGGTCTCCATGTCGGAAGTTCAATTATGGCGTATAGCCAGGGGCGAATCAAGGATTTTCTCGAGGGGGGGGGGATTTTCAAAAATGTTCGAAATTTTGTCGACGACCTTTTTTTTCTAGGTCGACCAAATTGGTTTTTCGAGAGCTCCTCTCCAAAGCACTAAAAAGTAAAAGTCCCTGTTTTGGCCCAAAATTTCCGCGCCACTGGCAAAATTTTGAAAAAAACAGCCCAAGGCGCCTTTAGAAGATATTTAGGGTCCGTCATCCAAAATTGGATATCTCAAAATAGTTCAAAGGGGGGACCCTTTGGGTCGGTAGGGGGTCGAATCCCTGAAAAAAACTGCTTGATAGTGCAGGCAAAGTTTTTACATACAAGTGTTTTTTGTTTGAACACAGTTTGTTTTTCTAAAGTTTTTTAAGAACACCCAAATGTTAAGTTATATCGAAGTATCTATTTAAGTGTATTTTATCAACACAAGACACTTTATTAACCACTGAATCTTTCAAAGTCGAAGTTTTTTAGCCATATACAAAAAGTAATGTTTCAATTCTGTTAAATTCTGTGTAGTTTTACAGAATTTAAATTCTGTGTAATTTTTGTTAAATTATTCTGTGTAATTTTTTTCAGTGTTTCCATTATTGATGGAAAAACGCTCATCATACATTTGCATAGTGTGAAAAAATGCTCAAAAAGCAATGCAATTTTGTGGATAAAATTGGGCAAAAAGCTCTTTATTTATTTCCAGAGTGTGAAAAAAGACCCTTGTCATAAGGTATCATTGTATGGAAAAAAAACCTTCTTATTCTTTTCATGCATTTTTTTAAATGAAAATGTGTGAAATTGTAAACCCAAAATTTTTGTCGTAGTATGAAATTGTATGATAAGCTTTTTTTGTCAACGCAGGCATGTGTCAAAAACCTAAAATTCTGCTAATTACATCTAATATCTTTTGTTATTTCAGTTATTTCAAATTCCTCACATTTTCATCCCGCTCCAAAGCAGGTAACGCTGCCCTTTACTCGGCTCTTTACGATTCGCACGAGGATCCCGCGGCCGAGCCCGTAACGAGTGCGGCCAGCTTTCGGGGCGATGTTTTCGGTCGAGGTGGGTCGCCGCGACAACCCGACGAGTGCATGTCGTCCCTCGACGGCCTGACAGACGAAATCTTCACTGGTGCTCCGACCAAGTCATCTTCCGCCACGCAAATCAGAATGACCTCACAGACAAAATCATCTTCTAACCTCAGTACAATGTCGCCAGGTCGCATGACGCAAAGAATCATTCCAGAAAGTTCTAGAGAGATTCTAGCCGCGCAACGAGGCGATCACTCTTTAGCCAGTATGGGAATCGTCTCTTTATCCTCCGAGGCCGTATCGTCCTTCGATTCCCTTCCATCGTCCAGGAGCAAGCAACTGGATCCAATACAACATACGTCGAACGCCAAAAGACTTTTTGCCGATGCCTCAACCAGTGCGGGCGCCTCGCCGAAACCAACGAGTCGTCTTATTTCGGAGGAGTCAGATTCGGATCCAAGACAGCGCAGTCGTACAATGGATGTCGTTTCTACAGCAAAGCAGACCGACTTGGTTGATGAAGATCGCACAATGACTTTGAAAGCCAACACCTCCTTGTCGCATAGTCCTAACAATGACAAAATCCCTCTTTTGCCCAACGACGGCGGCTCGAAAAAATCGGATAAAGTAGTGTGGTCATCAGAAACATTTATTACATCATCTGAACGGGGGGATGATCTAATGATTGACAGCAGCAGCGAAAAAGGCGGCACTAACATATCCTGGTCTGGAGTGGGAGGCGGAGCCGTGAGACCAAAAACGACCTCAAATTTAATACAGGGTGGTCCCACTTGCAAAAAGAAAACGTCTACCTCCGAATCCCCTAAGTATGTAGCTTGTTTCGCATATAACAGCCCCATTTTTAAGATTTTTTTTAGCTCCAGCTAAATAATATTCAAAAATTGCTATCTTACTTTCACAATTTTTTCTAAATATCTTGTTATCACCCGATTCACAACTAAAGAAGCTTTAACATACTGTACTTGACCCACAGGAGCGTTCTTTGATATACCAAGTTGCGCAAAAAAGAACACGCCTTTCATCATACTTCATTCGCAGCTAGTAAAAAAAATACAAAAAACACACCCGAATGCAAAGATCTTTCCCATGTTCAATGGTCGGAACAACATTCCAACCTTGACCTGTCACAATTTGTTCATTATGCAATACTTTGTTCATTTTAATATTTCACTTCTGTTTTTTAGGTATCATTCGAAGAAATCTTTCTTTGACATCACTTTTTGAGAACACTTAGAGAAAGTAATCTCTTGTAATTGTTATTTAGACATACAACTTCGCAATCTACGAAGACACCCCTTACCTCTCTGAAATCAAGATTCCGCACAGCTACGACTAAAGTCGACAACAAATGCAGTTCGGGTGGCACTCCAGAAAACCGAGGCAGTGGAGTCGGGGGTTTCGGAGGCCCAGTTCGCAACCTGCTCGGAGGAATCGGTGCTGTGAATTTAACTCAAAAACCACTCTCCAAAACAACTTCAGTTGAGTGTAGTAGAAAAAACGTGGGTGATAATTCTCCCGAGCTGCTTTAAATTTATTGCAATTTTCCAACAAATTTGTTTTCATTTTTATGTTTATATCAGCTTTTCGGACAGATTTCGTTTGTTACTATTTTGATGTGTTTGTCTCTTCTGAAAAAGATCTTGCCTATTTTCCTATCGAAAATTAATCACCAATTTTTTTTCTCAAAAATATTTATAGAAATTACACCTATCGTATAGAAACGATTGATTAAACTATTCGTAGGAAGTAAAAAATAAGCCTTGTTCCTATCTTTGAAATTTTTATATGTAAGTTTATTTCTTAGACTGAAAAACTCTTTATCAGAAGATATGTTTTCTGGGCATGCTTGGTTGTGAAATTACTACATTGCTGAATGATTTTGTGTTGCTGTTTCTTTTAGGCTGACGAAGGTGCTTCATCTTAAAAATATTCGCGTTGCAAAACTAAGAAAATATTGATAAATACCTGCGTGATTTTGCCAAGTTAAAGACCCTGTTTTGATTATGTGACAAACAGACGATAATTTTTCATCTTGAACTGGAGAGAATTTAGGGGGGATACTTTTGTGAGAAATTCAGAGGGAATGTTTTTGCTCCAAAAATAATATCTTTGGTACCTAAAAAAATTTCGACAATTTTTTTACCTTCTTTGCAGAAAATCTGCCCTGCCCCTGATCCTATACAATTGCTTAAAATATCTCAAACTGCTTGGTAAAAAATTCTCCAACTTCAATTAAAAGTACAAATACTCAGTGTTTAGGAAAAAATCTAAAACTATGATTTTTCGTCAAGTTTTTTACGTTAACACAAGTTTTTAAAAACCAGAACTAACCAGCTATTTTTCAGTTTCAATCAAACTGCTCCAAGCCTTCAAAAATTATTAAAATTCCACTTCAACGAAATAAATTATTCTAACTAATAAAAGTTACAATAGTCAAAATCACAGATCAGTTATAATGTGTGATTCAGCTTCAAATTCAAACCTTGATTGATTCAGAGCATTGTTATATATTTCTTGTAAAGAATGTACTGTATATTTTGTTTCGCTGTAAACCAAATCTCTTAAATAGTACCATTTCAAAAGATAGTTTTCGTATTTCAAGATTTCTTATCTCAAAATAGTTTTCGTGGCTCTTAAGTTTTAATTAACCCAGAAATTAAAGGTTGTGAATAACCGATTCTCGAATTATAAACGGAAGGACGAATGACCTTGATCTCAAATGTATTCATATATCAGGCCGTACTCATGTTTTTTCTCCGAACTTTTGCACCCCTTGAGAATATTTAGCCCTCATCTGATTTTTGGTTTTGAGAAATTGGAAACTTACTAGGTAAATAAACCGAGAGCGCTGCACATTTTTGCTCAAAAGTTTAATATTGGAGTGAAATAGACAGTTCTTTTTTAGACCGGTCAAAACTCCATGCTTAGAGACCACAGCAATACTGAACCGCAATTACCTGAAAGCTCTTGAATCTGTGGATGAAAATTTTCGTGTCTGTGGTAGAAAGGTCGATTTTTTTCATCAGGAATCGAGAAGAAACTTCAGCTAAAACACCCCCTCGGTGGTTTTGTGGACAGCTTAAGCCTTCCTTCGGAAGTCACATTCAAAAATCCCCATAAAAAACTTTCTTGGTGGGAAGTAAAAAAAAAACACTTTCTTAATGGGAAAAAGATGATTAGTTTCTTTCCAGGTTTGAGCGATCCTAAAAAAATTATCCAATACAAAAAGACGAGATGCGATGCAAAAAATTGTCAACTACTTCGGATTTCACAAACAAAACTCGGAATAGTTATAGCTTGTGCTTTGAAAACTAGTGTACCGAAATAGCTCGCAGCAAAAACAACTCGATAAAATAGGCAACACTTTTATGAAGGTTTATCGCTGATTTCGAAGAGCATTCGCTAGTTTTCAATTTCTGCTATTTGCCTTTTGTTTTGAGTTGTCCTATTAGAGAAGGTTGGCAATTTGTCAATAAAAAATGTTTTACAACATATCTGATTTCTTACTCAAGAAGTTTTGTATATTGGCAACGTCTATAACTGAAAAAGTAAGACCAAAACTAAGTATCAAGGGAACCAAAAGAAAAGGAAAGCAAAAATGCTTCATTAATAGCAAAATTATCGATTTCTCTTCTTTTTTAATTTTAAAGAATTTATTTTTAAGTTGAACGTATTTAAAATTACCATTTCATTAGGAAAATATCTCAACAGATATGTAAAAAAAAATATTTTTAACTGTTCAACCGCAGTATTCTGAATGCACCTGAATTTGTAAATGATATTGTCTGGATAACTGGTGGATAAGAGTTTGGAACTCGGATAAAGAGAGAAAAACTGCTTTTGAGAGAAAAAATTTTTTTCATAAAGGCTGCTGATATATTCAAACCAATTAAAAAAAGAATTTTTTGAAAACTTTCAATTTGGTTTTATAAATATTAACAGAAAATTACACACTATCGCCGTGCGAATATTTTTTGTTCTGAGCACCTCACGAGATGGAGTGAAGGAACTGTTTCCTTAGGTGTGTGTTTTTCTCGCAATTTCAATTAAATCAAAGAAAACTCACGAAGCATCAAGTAAAGTATTATATGAGAACCCGTTCAGCCGTAGTTTGGCTTCATAAAAACTCATGAAAGTTGGCACACGGAAGAGAAAAGCTCGTCTAAATTTTTCCATTTCTCAGACTATGACTAACAGAATGCAACTTGCATTCTCCGATTTAATCGTTGTAATTTTCTTTTATGTTTTTGCTATCATGCAAATATTCTCTTAGGCTAATGAAATATTTAGTCCACAGGCTAAAAAAAATAAAAAACTGGAAAAAATAAAAATTCGATTTTTCAATTAAAATTGTTCCCATCAAATCTTCTGTTTGAAGAGTTGTGATTAAATAGCACACAAAATTTTCAGTTTTCGATTGTTCGTGAGAAAATGTGAAAAACATAACAGAAAACGAAAAGGATTGACGACTTGTTGACTTTGTGATACCTACGAGGCTATCTTGTTGGAAAACTAAGTTATAATTCCAAAAAAAATAAATTGTTAATCGAATTAAAACTTTTCTGTTTAAGAACTGGTGAGATCTACGTAGATTCATGTTAGCCTGACCGCTCAGCGATGTAACGAAGTTTTTAGATACAGTGACTTTGGACAAGGGTACAATATAAATAGAATAGTTCACTAAAGGTCACACCACGTTGCTACTATTGCAATAGCAGTATCACATACCCCCTCGAGCGATAATTGTTTTTAATTCATAATAAAAATAATTTAAAAATACACTAGGAGTTTTTAGTCTCAGTCTTAAAAGTTTGTTTAATTTTAACTCCAAAGTTTTTTTGAGTTGATTCTTTAATCCTAGTCCAGTTCTATCCTCCAACTGGGATTCCAGTCTACTCCTTCGTCTAAGGTGCCGTATCCAAACTTGCGTCTGAACAAGTTTCTTTCCAGGAGCCCCAGTCTGGTTTCCATCGGTGTGTTGTTCCGCGCTTTGAAATGCTCTAGTCGTCGTCTATAGTCTTGCGAAGCCGCCTTTAGAAGTGCTCATCCTGAAAGTTCTTCCTCTGAGATCTCTTTGATGGAATGTATGACTGGGTCCCCAAAGCGTTGGGGTTCTTTACTCTTCGTTAGTCGTCAGCTTCTCCTTACCCGGGTGTCTTCTGGAATCGTCTGATGCGCCTGCTGGTTGGTCAAATCTCTCATCTCGTTCGGCCGAGGGTTGGTTCCTTCCTCTTAGTTCGTCGGCCACTTTTTGTTTTCCCCTCTTAAGCACTTGGTCTGTCAAGGTTTCCCATCGCGCCGGCGCCAGATTCCGATTTTGGAAGGTGTCAACAATATCTTCGGGTTCGGTGGACATATCCACTTTCTTCAATTTACCCTTCTGTTATTTCCCGGGTGTTAGACATTTTTGTTAGTTTCCCTGTTTTCTACGTCTGGTTGCTTGGCTGCCGTTGCAGCTTTTTCTTTTCCGGCGTCTTTCACTAAATTCTTTTCGTTTTTGGCCTTTTTCAAAACGAACTCGTTTTGGGTTTTTGGTCCGCATGAAGATCCGGGTCTCCCTTTGTTTGGTTTAACTCTCTTGATGGCGAGATTGAGATCCCCCTAGCTTCTGTATTCTTCGAAGTGACTATTGTGTGGCTCTGTTGGAAACGCTCTGTTGGGAATGACAAATCGGCGCTCATCTGAGTCACTCTCCTCCAGCCTTTACCGGTGACCTGATCTTCTGGAGTTTTTTTGTGGCTCCGTAGATGGGCTCCTACTCGATTTTTGCGTAATTTCTGGTTTTTGCTTCTGCAATATCTGACTTTTGGTAGATTGAGCCACCGGAGTTTTTTTACTGTCGACCCTGTTTCTGACGCTATTTTTACTTTAAGCGGTTTCATGAGACCTTTCTTCCAAAGAATCGTTCTTTAATGAAAGTGTGTTCTCTTCCTCCTTATCCTTAATGAATCTCTTCTCCCACGAGTAGATCAATTTTTTCCTTAGTTCCGATTTGGCCGCACCCACAATTCGTCGAATGTCCTTCTTCGCGGCGTCTAGGCGTTCTTCGTTCCACCGGCCATTTGCTTGCAAAAGGTCTTTAAAGGCTTTTGCTCGTTGACAATCTCGTAATGTGCTAAGCTGTTATTCATACATCGGACTGGTGTCTCTGCTGAGGTACCGCTTCTTTACTATTTTCAAATTTTCCCTGGACTGGTCAATCTTTCTTTTGGGTTTTGGATGCATATAAAAACAATCGGGCCCATGACACAAGAACTGGTGTCCAGAGATGGTGCAATCTCAAGGTGTACAGCCCTGGTGGTGAGGCAAGTAAAAAGAAATCCCCATCTTTTTTGTCCTATACCTTATTTCTTGTAGTTATTTTGCAGAATTCTGGGGACGTTCTGAGGATGTTTTGGCAATTTTCTACTTTTTTCACAAAATTTTTTGGAAAATTTTGGTCAGCAGGTTCGTTGACAATCTCGTAATGTGCTAAGTTGTTGTTCATACATCGCACTGGTGTCTCTGCTGAGGCTTCGCTTCTTTAGGATTTTCAAGTTTTCCCTGGAGTGGTCAATCCTTCTTTCGAATTTTGGATGCATATAAACAATCGGGTTTTGGGTTTTGGGTATTGGTCAATCCTTCTTTTGGGTTTTGGATGCA